CTGTGCGCCCCTCCACACCATTACTGACTCACTGCCACAGCGGCCATGCTGGAGGATGCTGCAGGCAGCAGAACGTTCTCCACGGTGTCTCTAGGCTGAGTCACGTCTGTCACATGTGCCTAGCGTGATCCTGCTTTTATATGTGAAGAGCACAGGACGCCAGTGGCATCTTTGCCAATCATGTGTTCTCTGGCAAACGCCAAACGTCCTGCACAGTGTTGGGATGTAAGTACAACCCCCACCTGTGTGTGCCACCATCACCACATTTACAGCTAGAGCAGTCTCTCCTCATGCATTCAGCGTCCATTTGTATTAAAGAGAAATCCAACTTAGGAGGATGTCAGACGCGGGCGTTTCAGTTTTGGGAGTTAAACTACGGAGCAGTCTCTGTGACGACTGAAAGGAAACACATTTAAAACTACAAAAGTAACAAAATGAAAGAAAACTATCTTTTATAAAACACCTCTCAAAATAAAATCACGAGGCGCTTCACAAAATATCAAACTTCCAATATAAAAGAGATTTTTCTTAATGAATAAAAATATGTTTAAAATGACTAAAATAAAAATGTAAGGAAAGGGAGAGAAAATGATCAGGAAAGAGTAAAATCAGTGGATCCCAGGAAAGTCAGAACAAGAGCAGAATGAGGAGAGGGTGGTGATGAAGGTCCCACCTAAGCCTGAACAGGTGCGTCTTCAGCTGCCTGTGGGAATGAAACGAGTCATTTACACTGAATTGTGTCATGTTGCTGTAGCTTGTTGCTCTTTTGTCTAACGTTGCTTCATGAGGAATCTGCAGGGAGCTGGATCGGGATGGAGCCCCGACATTAGCATATTCCTTTTCTTTCTACAACCTTCAGTTTTAAGTTAAATAGTAAATTATAACTGAAATACAGTACAAATAAACTACTGCCAGCTACATCCACCCATTTATTAAGAGAACCCAGAGAAAAGCTGCTGAATCAGAACATTCTGGATCTACTTTGGAGAAATAATGGATGAGATGGCAGCCTGAGGGGGGTCACAGCACAAATCCGTCTCACAGATGTCACCGCAGTTATGTGAATACCTTTCATACTACTGATCTTTTCCTACCACGCAGTCCTTCTGGCAGAGATACTCTGGTATATTGTAGCTGGGAGAGACCCAAAAACATCACAGCCATTTGGCAATGACTGTCACATTGGGGTCACATTGGGGTCACATTGGGGTCACATTGGGGTCTATACGGTCGGGTACAGGACCAGACTTTAATTTCACACCAGGGTTACAGAAGAGCTTGGTGAGGTGAGATGAGATTAATATTACATACAAGTACATGCCTGAACTTCCATAGAAGAAATTTGTGTTTTATTTTGTAAAACTCAAACAGGAAGCCCTTCAGACCTCATCTTGTTTTTGTTTCCTGTTCCTAATGTCAGGTAGGAAGCAGCTACCTGGAAGCTCAGGCATCTCTTGTTCTCCTGCTTTGTGAGCAGACACATTTAGGACTTACTCAGCGTTTCGCGGCTTTCTGTGGTTATGGATTGTTGTGACAAGGCTTGAGGAGTCAGCATATGTACAACACTGAACTTTGCATCAGCGGGACATTGTTAATGTAACGTGAGGAAATATGGGTTTTCTGTGCAAAAGGTTATACTTTGCCCGGCTGGGTCAAAGAGCTGGGTCGCTGAGAACTTTCACCCACAGAGTGAGACCTTTACAGACATGAAGTCTGCAAGAGTCTGCTGCAAACCATAACATCTGAACACCTGCAGTGCCACAAGATGTGTTCCCATGGAAGCTAGTCATAATATAACAAAGTCTTAAACTTCCTTTTCTTTATTTTAAATGTAAATAATCATTTGATCACTTTGCTCATTATAAATGTGTTTTAATCAAATGAATGATTATTATGCTTTGGTTAATCATAGCTATAATGAATCCATACTTAATTAAATAATGTTTTGAGGATGTTTGGTAATGACCTTCACACACTCAAACACTCACTCAAACACACACACACACACAAACTCTCACAGTAAACTCCAAAACACATTTGCTCTGACGCACCCGTTTGCTTTGAGAAGAGAACTGGGTTTGGTAAGTTTCAGTCTTGTGATTCAGTTCGAGTTTGTCAACGAGAGAGTTCGGACGTGTTGAACATGCACACGGGGAAGGGAGCCTGCGGCTCCTGTCCCCCCCCCCCCCCCACACACACGCTGTTCCTGCCAAGCCAGACAGGACAGCTGAGTTGCAAACGCTAACGCAGACTCGTCCAGAGTCTTTGATTTTCTGAATAATTTAAACTTAAGAAAGCGCATCTGCAAACGCTTCATCATCACGTGTACCAGGGGGCATCTCAGAGCATAAACCATTACTCTACATAATTGGCAGAGCCTATTCAGTAGGGCTGCAACAACGAATCGATAAATTCGATGAAAATCGATTACTAAAAGCGTTGGCAACGAATTGCGTCATCGATTCGTTGTGTCGCACAACTCTTCCAAAAGCGCCCCCCCTTCCCGCCCGCCGTTGCGCGCAGACCAGAGCAAGTCAGATCAGCGCGAGGGAGAGCCGGCAGATCAGCGCGAGGGAGAGCCGCAGATCAGCGCGAGGGAGAGCCGCAGATCAGCGCGAGGGAGAGCCGGCAGACTTGCGCTGCTGCGAACCGGTTCCGCATTGTTGCGCAACGATCCGGGCAGCTGCTTCCAGCGCACGGTCCATTCTCAAAGTGGCGCAACCAAAAAACTATAGTTTGCACACGATCGTTCTTGTCTGTACATGTTCTCTATTTTCTGTCTTATTTGTGCCTGAAGCTCGCTACTGCGGAGCTCATCACCTGTGCTGTGGTGATGTCACCTCACGCAGCATCGAAAACGCGCTCTGAGCTTTTCGGTCAGGAGATCCCTTTGATCTGCTCAAAAGTAACTGATGAGGTGAAAAGGTAAGAATCCAGGCAACAGATTTTCTGGAGAATTAAGAGGAGATGCAGGAAGATGAGAGACAGACAGGACAGGAAAATAGTTCAATAAAAACAAGAAAACAAAACAAAGTGTTGAAAAGTCAAATGTAGGTAGATTTATCTCCACGACACGTTTTTACCAGTAAAAAACAATAAGTTATACACATGTTATATTTATACATCTGATACAATTCAGATCACCTTCAAAACTCAGTCACACACCCAGGGCCGTTTCAAGACATTTTGGGGGCCAAGGCAAAATGCCCCCCCCCCCCCCCCCCCCAATAACTGGGCTCCCCAGAAGCCTCTGTGTAATTCATGCCCTCTCCAGTAGTGTTAGTTATACAGTGTTTATAAAAGCCCCTCAGACATTACTGACATGTTCTAATATATCAGATGAAAAACTAAATTATCAGACATGCTGTCTCATCTGCTGCTTTTCTTAACTTGCAAAAAGTAACAAAACCATGTGAAAGCCACTATTTGTGGATTCTCTGAAAGTTTCCATGGAGTGTGCGACAACTTATTTTTTCATTGATCCTATCGTCTAATCTCACAGCTGAAACAAGCATCCTTAATAATCTGTGCATAGGAAGCTTACCGATGCTGTAGTAAAACAAAAGGTATAAAAATTTATTATTAATAAAACCTTGTTGCAGCACTAAAGCAGAAAAATTAGATTTTGCATTAAATATGCAAAATATTTACATATTAATTGTTTTAGAGCCCTTTAATTGGCAGAATCTGATATTAATTTAGTTCTTACAAAAAATGGGTCCCAACATGGTTTGTGTGGCGTTGCCATAGTGTGACGTCATAGGCACAGATCCCCTGTCCTCTTGTTTGGAAATGGAAATATGGTCACCCTACATTAAACAAACTGTCCACCCGGGCTTTTGCGCTGCACAGAGACGCTTCGCTGCCTACGACTGAATGTCAGTTGAGAGTCAGTCTCATGCAGACTGACCAATGAAGAGAGGGCCTCAAGTTAAGACCCTCTCCTCATTGGTCAGTCCACACGAGGTGGGTCAAAGGTTACTCTGGGCGGGTTACGTGTTGTCAGGCATTCAAGTATTGAGTATATTTACTGCATATTACAGTAAAATATTCTGTATGTGACCACATTATGGTGATCCTTGGGTTGTGATGATGGAGCCCTTGAATATTGTTGCCCAGGGTACAACAAAGTGTTAATCTGGCCCTGGTTCCGCCGTCACATTCCCGCAGAAACTGGTTGATCACACCGGGGCCAGACTACTAGCTTGTGGTTTTACAACCACAATGTCCTCAGAAGCAAAAACGCTTTTAAAAGGGAGGGAGGAGTCCTAACTGTTGCTGCAGGCGTGTTGTGTGAGAGTGCAGTTATATACTGGTTAATATATTTTTGGGTTCAGTTGCTTTCATGTGGCCTAATGTGAGTCTATTTGGGATCATTGGAATGATCAGCAGCATTTCTTGATGTGACTTTATGGCAGTTGCCCAGGGCATCATCGCAAGGAGGATGGCATTCATTTACTTTTGTTTTATTTGGTATTTTTTCAGTCATTTTTGGAAATAGTGATCAATTTTGATTAATTCACAGCCTATGTTTAATTACATTTAAAATAAATGTCTACAGATGAGATCAAACAAAACAGATGAGAATTGCCCTTAAGCTGTTTAACTTGGACCAAGCATTTTAGGTCACAGATAGATGTAGCTTAGGGTCTCTGTCTATGCACCTTATAAGACAATTTAGGTGATGGCATGTTGTTTTTCTGCTATTGAACTGTTTTCTAATAATGTTGTGTTAAATAAAGTGAAGGAAGGAGAGAAATAACATTTCCCTAGCAGTTTTTAAAAATTTCCCCATGTAATCCGATTAATCGATTAATCGTGTCGAGACCCCATCCGATTAATCGATTATCCAAATAATCGTTTGTTGCAGCCCTACTATTCAGGTTCACTACATTAACAATGCATGTGCCAATCCACACACAGTCAAAGCCTGGGTGTGAGAGACGGCTAAAACGTGTTGTGTACGTTTTCTCTGCTACTGACCATCATTACCAACTTACTTGTTTTTTCAGACGACTGATGACGTTGGTGAGAAGGTTCTCCTCCCATCCCAGCTGTGGCGTGGTTACAATAAAGTCAACATCATGACCAAATTCCTTCCCCCTGAAAATAAAGATATTAAAATGAGGCTCAGTCACAATGTGCCACAGTCTGCTCCATCTATTCTGCCTCTGATCACTAAGCTCACTGAACAATCTGAAGATGGAGTTTTATCACTGAATCACATTTAAGGTGGATTTTTTTTTAATCAATGAGAGACCAGCACTGACTGCTAATGACAATCAGCTCCTCTAAATCCAAATCCAGTGTCTTCAGTCGGAAAAGGGTAGAATGCCTTCTCCAGGTCAGGGATGAGGTCTTGCTCCAAATGGAGGGGTTAAAGTATCTCAGAGTCTTGTTCGCGAGTCGATCTACGTTCCTACCCTCACCTATGGTCACGAGCTTTGGGTAATGACCGAAAGAACGAGATTGCGGATACAACTGAGTTTTCTCCGCAGGATGGATATATCACATCTTTGGTTTTCAAACACAATCACTGGTCTTCTTTACTGCTTCTCCTCTGCTGGGTCTCAGAGAACTGGTGTCCATCTTCAGTCAGCAGACTAGAGGTTGGACACACTGGACAGGTCTCCACTCCATCACAGGAGTCGTGTGTGTGTGTGTGTGTGTGTGTGTGTGTGTGTGTGTGTGTGTGCGTGCGTGCGTGCGTGCGTGCGTGTGTGTGTGTGTGTGTGTTCTGTCTTCTCCATCCCCAGTGAGTCATGGTGGATGGCTGCTTATACTGAGCCAGGATCCTCTGGAGGTTTCTTCCTGTTAAAAGGGAGTTTTCCTCTCCACTGTCGCTGCATGCTTGCTTAGTATGAGGACTGCTGTAAAGACTCTGACACTAGTCAGTGACTCAATGCAACCTGCTGGGTTCCTTATATAGGAAACTTTTCTCTGATTGGCTTAATGACCTGACCTGTAATGGAATGTTTACTGTGTGAAGGTCCTTGAGACAACTCTGGTCCTGATTTGGCGCCTTATAAATAAACTGAATTGAACCAGACCTCTAAAACCATCTGGTAAGCTTCTAAGAAAGTGAGGACCAAAAAAATCTCTCTCTCTCTCTCTCTCTCTCTCTCTCTCTCTCTCTCTCTCTCTCTCTCTCTCTCTCTCTCTCTCTCTCTCTCTCTCTCTCTCTCTCTCTCTCTCTCTCTCTCTCTCTCTCTCTCTCTCTCTTTCTTCTCTCTCTCTCTCTCTCTCTCTCTCTCTCTCTCTCTCTCTCTCTCTCTCTCTCTCTCTCTCTCTCTCTCTCTCTCACACACACACACACACACACACACACACACACATACACAGCTGTCCTTTCTATAAGGCTAATGTCAGCATCGACAGCTCCTCCCTCTCTAGTGAGGACAGCTGGAGCTTGGGAAGCAGCTCTTATTGTATGGAGCTTTTGGGAGTGGAGTGTGTTTTTTGTGTCTGTGCATGCAGAGAGAAAAGGTTTGATAGAGCTAAAAATATCTCATATATGAGCATTCATTTGCATTTTTGACAGGGGCTATCTGCCATTAAGATGAAGCTAGTGAGGAAGTCAACATCACGCAGAAATGATGGATAATTAAATGGAGCTCTGACAGGACTTTAGAGGAGAACACGTGCAGATGTGTTAGAGGAGTGTCTTGGTGCTTCAGACCTCCATTTGGGTTTAAATGAGGAATGGAGAATCTGCTCTTCAGTATAATAATAAATTACTCCTGCAATGATAGACTACAACCTTTTATTCTTCAATTACATCTCTGTCGAGGTTAGAGACTCCCATAAACCCATGTTTAGAGAAACATCATGAAACTCGTTTGAAACTTTTTTTACATAAATTATTTAGGCTTTTAGAGTAACTTTTGTGAGAAAAATGGGTTTTTCTTTGGCCAAACCAAGTGGCTCTGACACAGAGGAACCATTGAATGTTTATAATTCTACTTCTTTTGGACCAGAACCATAAAGTTTTGAGTTTGCTGCACGCCCCAGAGAGCAGAGACAAACCAGAGGCAGAAACCATCAGCCAAAGCAGAGAGATTGTGCTGCCATGTGAGGAGAAGCAGCGGGGGGGGGGCAGCTTGAGTTAAACATGTTAGCTTAAACTCATGTGCTATCATCACAATATAGTACAGATTACTATCATGTACCAGACAGCTAAAGTAGTATCTGTTAGTTAATATAATAGGAACACTAATGAGCGTCTGTCAGCTGTCTCATACTCATTAATATCTGTTCACCTAACCTACTTTAGCTTAGAGACGCCTGTCATCCGGTTCTGGAGCTCATGCGGGCTTCTGTGAGCTGGATCCGACCCAGACACCAGTGAGTCAGTCCAGCTGGGATTTTTAAAAGCTGCACATGATCCTCTCCTGGAGGTCCGCAGCAGTTCTGATCTGGATCCGACCCAGAAACCAGCTGGCCCGCTGAGCAGCGCGTCTCCTCTGGTGGTCAGTTCTGACCTGGTTCTGGCAGTGATCTGAGCTCCAGAAATCCACATTTAAATTTTTAAACCCCTCCACAAATCTCCGGAGCCCAGCATGGACCTCCCTGACCTGGTACCGACTGATGAGGACTACAGAAGTCCGACTTTTCAGCTGCACAAAACGCCCTCAGGCACGGCGATAGAGGCGTTGTTCCTCTGGTCTGGAAACCCGTGGACTCGATGTCCACACAGGCTGGAGTTGGTACAGCCTTCATACTCTAGTTTATCAACATGAACACAATCCAACACTAGTAAACACACACAATGACTGGATCACATGACCTCTCTACCCTAAAACCAGCCACAAAACTAACCTGCAATTTGCTTTTTAAAAGTTAGAAGTGTGTTTCTGTGAAAGTTACAAATAAATCTGGTCCCAACAAACGTCGGCGGCTTCCTCCAAACACATCCACATCACCCCTCTTCTCCTCCAGCTTCACTGGCTGCCAGTCAACTTCAGGGTTCATTTCAAGATCCTAGTTCTGGTCTATAGGGCCTTACATGGACAAGCACCATCTTACATTGGTGATCTTCTCAGTCCCTACGCCTCCAGCAGGTCCCTGAGGTCCAGTGATCAAAGCCTACTGGTTGTGCAGCAGCAGGCTAAAGGTCAAAGGTGACAGATCATCTGCTGCTTATTTTTTCTCTCCCATTTTTATTTTTAACCTTTTTTTTATTGTTCTTGTGAAGCACCTTGTGATGTTTGAGAGGTGAAAATCCTTTCTTTTTTCTGAAGAGCCTCTGTTTGCAGAAATGGAGTTTGTCTTTTAGGACTGATCACCTTTCACCAAAGTGTGACTTCTAATGGGGCTTTGACTTTTTGAGCCAGCCCCTAGTGGATGAGGGGGGAACTGCACGTTTTGCCACTGGTTGATTTCAAATTTGAAAGGCGGAGTTTGGCCCTTAGAAAAAATCTAACTCATCCAACAAACACAGCCTGACGATGAGTCCCTCAGCTTTACTTACTGATAACGTTTCATCCAGTATTATTATTTAGTTTATTGTGCATGACCTGAATATTTGAAATTGCACTATAGCAGCCATGACGCCATCATCTTCCAACATCTGATTCTAGGTTCCTCTCTTGTTCCTTTGTAGTAAAACCGATGAAAGTCTGCTTGATGAGGGGCTGAATCAAAAATTAAGGATTGGGGAATTTGCCCATTGTTCTCCTATGCAGACAAGAGTCTAGAGAAGTCATTTACTTTCAGTTCCAGTTGCAGGACCTGTTAGGCTTTATACAGTAGAATATAATTCATATCAAATAGAGACTTTTTCCAGGTTGCAGGTAAAAGACGCCTTAAGTGTAGTGTGTTTGTAGGCAGAGATAGAGCCATCAGCTAAGTTCCCGTCGTCCCGTCGACAGGCGAGTGCATGTCCTCGCTGCCTCTGAATTATTTACCTCACACACCACTGGTTAAGCTGGATTTTTACTACACAACAGAGCAGAGGGCTCATGCTTATGCTCAAAGCACTGCACATAAGAGCTGCGGGGGTGGACCTTCTTTGCTCAGAGACTTGCAGGAGACTCTGATTGTTACACATGTGAGTGACTTGGTGCAAGCATAACTGATCTATATTGTTGTTGGGTTAGGGTTAGGTGCAGCCCCTTGTTGTTGTTCCAGTCAGAAACAAAGGAATAAAAGCAGCTCCAGCTGTAGTTTTGTTCTCACATGTTCTCTAAAAGCTGCAGACCCAAGTGTCCCTACATCCTTGGCCTTCTGAGAGGGATCAGCTAAACCTCCTGGGATTTGTTTTTTCTTGAGTGTGACAAACACAAATTTAACAATAGCAGGAAAAAATGAGAGGAACTGTTCTGTTACATCTCTGTTATAAACACCAATAGGAGGAGACAAGTCTTGTACCTGCGAAAGCCACCTGTCAGCACTAGCACGGCGTCGGGTGTGATGGCATGGACAGCTTCGTCAATAATGCTCCCCAAGGCCTGGGCCTCGGCTTTACTGACAGCTCTGGAGATGTCTCCATAATGCAGAAAACCTGCAGGGAAAAGACCACATGGTTATTAGCCTGGCAGCCAGCCATCAATCAGAGCCGTTTGCTCCGGGAGGAGCGAGTCGGGCCGGATTCAAAGGAAAACTGTGGAGTGTTGCTGATGGAAGCCAGGTAACAGAGCTGCGGCATCTACTATCCCTAATTAAAACTGATGCTCGTCTCCTTCTGCGCGCCACATAAAAAGCACTGATTCCCTTTTTCTTCCCATAGATGAACAGAGATGCTCGTCCAATTAATCACAAACCTTTAATGATTTTCTGTCTGTGCAGCAGGACGAAATGATGGGACGGCTCTTGTTTCTGTTCTGTAGAGATTTTCAGAATAGTCTGAAGATTAGGGTTCAGAGAAGTTTTCCATTTAAAAAAACTCGAAGAGTGGAGAATTCAGCGCTCCAAATAAGGGATTATGTACTCTTTGATGGGCACGTCTGTCTGTCAGCGTAATCAGCAGCTGGACAGAGTCTGAGATGAACGAAAACGCTGCAATACAACACTTCTGAGGAAAACATCAGACTTTGTTCATAGCAACAACTAAAACTGGCATCTGCATGGCGGGTTCCTCTGTTACCCAGCATGCATCACAACAGATCAGTTGAGCAGAACCAGAGCAGCAGCAGCACCTCGGTCCGTCTGCAGGCCCAGAATGAGCAGCTCTGACCCTGACCCTATTCAAATATGAATGATGAAATGCATAAAAGAGGTTTTGTCTGAATTTTTCGACGTGATTTTGAAGCACGGCCTTCGTAGTTAGATCCTGAGTGGCCTCTGTTCAGAGGAACAGAGAGCTGGAATGTGAGCCTGTATTAACTCAGGGCTAGATAGTGATGCAGCCGTCTTCTTGTTTGAACATACTTTCATATATTATGTCTCTACACCTTTATGATTCTGATTGTTCATAACTCAAAACACTTTAAATGTCTTTAGCTCACCTTCAAAAGTACATTTTCCTGCTATGTTTTCTACCGTTCCTGCACATGAAGCCTGGGAAAAGCAGCATTCACCACTTAAAGCTGCGCAGGACCACTCCTCCGGGACAAGAGAAAGTCCCTACAGACACACACGAGCTCTTTACGCCTCCTTGGGAAGCGAAGCCCCGTTGAAGCTTCAGCTCTATCATTTGTGAAGTGTCTAAGAGAAGACGAGTTGTTCTGACGTACCGCTTTGTTGCATCCGGTTCAGATGGATGCTGGGCTCTGCCAGAACGCCGCTGAAGGAGCGCAGCCCTCTGCGGTACCACTTCTCAGCTGTTTTAGGTCCAACCCCAAACACACTTGTGAACAGCTGGCAGGAAACAAGGTGAGGATGTAATCAAGAAGACACGCTCTGAAATGACGGGCTCCTCTCAGAAGAGTTTAACGAGCGCCACATCCTCCAGAGGCAGCAGAAGCAAAGTGCTTCTCTGGGAGTTTAGAGCTGATTACTGGAAAAGCAAATGAGTGACTTGGTTGCATTTCACTGACTGACCTTGAGTGTTTGATATCTTTCATCAGAAAGTATGTTATCGACTTCAAACGAATGACCACATCCAAGGATCTCCTGCAAACATAAAGCAGATGAAAGAAGGCCTCATGAGTGTCAGCACCGGTATGTTTACCTGGATTCTCTTCCACCTGCTAAATGCTCTAAAAGTGCTGCTCACTTCAAACCCTTTCCTTTCAATTCAGATGTTTTCATTTTCATCTGGTTGTCATCTCTGCTGCCATCGCAACTGGGGACAACCATTAAAGCAGCAGCTTGGAAAAGATTCACTTCACATTTAATCTGCACAGATCAAGTCAGCACATTATCGCCCACCGGCAGACGGACAATACTGCTTTTGCCTCTACATGTTTTGGAGTCAGTTCAAGATGGCTGCCACAGCCAACTGTCCTCGGAAAACTTCAAGTGATCAAATCTGAGTTGATGTTTCAGATGATGAACAGAAATGTGTTGCAGAGGGAGCTGAGCTTCATCCCTGAGCAACCACTGAAAGGATTTTATTCAGACTCTCAGAACATAATCATGTATCCATGACGATCATCACTGCAGCTGACTTCCTGAACCTACAGACAGAAAAAAGCTTCATGCTGCAGTCAGAGCAACATTTTGGCTCCTTCAACACAAACTTCTGTACATTCAGGAGATCCTTGCTTGTTACGTTTTATAAACAGGTTATTTGTATATAAGTTATAATAAAAGGTCTCTGGTCTCACATCAAGCATTTCAGCGGCTTTGTTCGTTACAACTTCAGTACCTTCCAGAATGAGCCGTTTTAAAGCTCTGTCAAACAGCTGGCCACGCCCACATATCCCCTAATTGGATGCTACAAAATGAGGAGCCCATTCACTAGTGTGCAACCTTACGGCTGATTTACACGTCTCGAGAAGTAAAATCAAGCAGGTTAGCTTGGTTAGCTTGATTAAGAATTCTGTGTTTTGTAGTCGTGCAGAAAGAGATGCCATCTAGCTCTGATGAACTATTAATCCAAAGGTCAGCAGAGCAAGACAGTTCAGTGCTCAGAGAAGCTTTTCAACCCTCCAGCTGGTACCAACCGCAAACACAAGGATGATGCTTCACCACACTTCCTGCTGTGGGAAAGAAACACTTATTAGCATGCACAACACACACACACACACACACACACACACACACACACACACACACACACACACACACACACACACACAAACTGCATCATTGCTCCCACACTTTCATGTCAGAATGTTTATGTCCTCTCACCTCGGGTGGATGTGCGGTCGGCAGCGAGCGGTTGAGTCGCCACCGAGGCGCCGGTCCAATGTTTACAGGCTTATCAAGTTTTTTGCATTCACTCTGTTTTGGTTTCACTTTGTTTTTATGTCATTTTCTTATTTTGAGGCTGATTCTGTTCAAAGGGACACGGCGGTGACAGAAAACCTCTCCACCAGACGAGCGTCTGAGTCGCACACAAACAACAAAGAGAGGTCAGTCACCGACTGTCTAATTCGGTCTCTGAGGGACATTTAAGTTACTTTGTTTTGAGAATCTGTCGCCGCGCTGACAAGTCTGACACGTCTAGAGATCGGCTCCCCGACCTGCTGCGAGTACCTCAGTTCTAATGTGGCAGGAAGCTGAATCGAGAGCTCATCTTCTCTTTCTTGTGGGGACTTGATGTTCTTTACACACCAACATTTCTCAAAACCTGCGCTGACAAGCTGACCTGAGCTGACTGTGTGGATGAGGATGAAGTGACCCAGAAAGAATTTTCTTTTCCTTTCAGAGAAACGCAGTGATGTCTGATGTGTTTTGCGTCATATGCTCTGTTGGCATCACTGTGATGACGAAGTTGAAAAATAAAGCCAAATGTGTATATACATATATATTACTACACACTGATTTATTAAGTGTGTGCGTGGACTCTGGTTGCGTAGCAGCAGGACTGTGTGATATCAGTAAGCAACAGGACTGGTGGACTCGTTCTGTCCAACCAGGATACTGCTGAGTAGAGATGCTTCGATATTGCTTTTTTACCCACTTCTGTCTAACTCCTCATTTTCAACATCGATATATGTGGGGTATGAATCTAGTCCCCTAGACCCTCTGTCAGTGTCTAGAGCAAGTTAATGACTAGATGAAATCAAGTTTCCTTTAGTTAAACAAAGACAAGACCGAAGTTCTTAAGTCGTTGTCTCGTTGTCGTCGTCTTCCTCCGCTTATCCGGGTCCGGGTCGCAGGGGCAGCATCCCAACTAAGGAGCTCCAGACCGTCCTCTCCCCGGCCACCTCCACCAGCTCCTCCGGCAGGACCCCAAGGCGTTCCCGGACCATATTGGAGATGTAACCTCTCCAACGTGTCCTGGGTCGACCCGGGGGCCTCCTGCCAGCAGGACATGCCTGAAACACCTCCCCAGGGAGGCGTCCTGACCAGATGCCCAAACTACCTCAACTGACTTCTCTCGATCCGGAGGAGCAGCGGTTCTACTCCCCTCCCGAATGCCCGAGCTCCTCATCCTATCTCTAAGGCTGAGCCCGGCCACCCTACGGAGGAAACTCATTCCGGCCGCTTGTATCCGCGATCTCGTTCTTTCGGTCATTACTCAAAGCTCATGACCATAGGTGAGGATTGGGACGTAGATCAACCGGTAAATCGAGAGCCTGGTTTTCTGGCTCCGCTCCCTCTTCACCACGACAGATCGGCTCAGCGTCAGCATCACTGCAGACGCCGAACCAATCCGCCTGTCGATCTCCCGATTCCTCCTACCCTCACTCGTGAACAAGACCCCAAGATACTTAAACTCCTCCACTTGAGGTAGGACCTCTCTCCCGACCCGGAGTTGGCAAGCCACCCTTTCCCGGTCGAGAACCATGGTCTCAGATTTGGAGGTGCTGATCCTCATCCCGGCCGCTTCACACTCGGCCGCGAACCTACCCAGCAAGAGCTGAAGGTCAGAGCTGGATGAAGCTAGGAGGACCACATCATCCGTGAAAAGCAGAGACGAGATTCTCCTGCCACCAAACTCGACACACTCCACACCACGGCTGCGCCTAGAAATTCTGTCCATGAAGGTAATGAACAGAACCGGTGACAAAGGGCAGCCCTGGTGGAGTCCAACCCTCACCGGGAACAGGTCCGACTTACTACCGGCTATGCGGGCCAATCTCACGCTCCTCTGGTAAAGGGACTGAATGGCCCTTAACAGAAAGCCACCCACCCCATACTCCTGGAGCGTCCGCCACAGGGTGCCTCTGGGGACACGGTCATAAGCCTTCTCCAAATCCACAAAGCACATGTGGATTGGTTGGGCAAACTCCAGTGCCCCCTCCATCACCCTTGCAAGGGTATAGAGCTGGTCCACAGTTCCACGGCCAGGACGAAAACCACATTGCTCCTCCTCAATCTGAGATTCAACTATCGATCGGACCCTCCTCTCCAGTACCTTGGAGTAGACCTTTCCAGGGAGGCTGAGGAGTTCTTGTCTTTGGAAATAAGAAGGATAGGATGGAGGTTACATCTTAACTTGGCTCTCTTGGGACCACATAGGTCAATGCGCGTTTGCGAACTATGGACCTCGTACATCACCGCGTGCTCCATAAACTGAACTGTATGGCCGGCGGTGAGATGCCTTTGTGTCCCCTCGTGGAGTTAACCGCCCACCGACCTTCCTCCTTCTACACTACTACCTCTCGCATGGACGACATCATCATTGCGTACCACTTGCGTGAGTGGCTTCTTCTCGTTATGCGCGTTGGGGACTATCCCGTTTCCTATCCTCTTTTGTTTTGTGCCTGACCAGGATCCAAGACAAAGGCAAAGACCAAAGGCGCCAGGATCCAAGACAAAGACCAAAGACAAAGGCGTCAAAGGAGACCAACGTCCTAAGGGACAAACCCACCTGTGCTTCCGACGATCAAGTCGACCTACGTTCATGAGGAACAAACCCACCTGTGCTTCCGACGATCGAGCTTTGGGCGCGATCCCCGAAACCAAAAGGGGGAATGTTGAGGGTCTGACCTCATGAGGAAATTACTATGCAGTGATTTTCTCCAAAATGACTGTGCTTAAATTGCTCTGAAAAGCAAATAATCACATCAGCGCCAAGAAACTTCATTTCCCATGATGCTTTGCACACGGAAGCATTGTGATGACGTCACCGCCTAATACCAGAAACACGATCTGCGGGAGGCGGGAGCTTGGACAGCTTTCCCGCGACTTCAAAGACTATAAATCATGAATGAGACAAAGAAACCTCGTTCTTTTGCCCAGGATACCTGGCGGTAAGGACACGCTTGTCGAACGCTCCGACAACTTGAGCACGCGGAAGCTCTAAGTGCCCAAGTTGAGCCCACGCAACCGCTGGAAACTACACTCAACTCCATCGGGACCTGACTGGGAACGAGCGGAGCTCCATTCAGCTCTCAGAGACGCTGTAAGTTGTCAAACTCAGCACAAAAGAAACTTCGTTCTCTTTGTGTCCAGCCCGTGGAGAAACACTCCCGGAGAACGCCAAACAACGGAGAAAGCATCAAACCGACGGATGACGCTGAAAACTGCGGAGAAAACGGAGAACCGTCAAATCAAACAGCTGGGGACGCCTTGCTGCTCTTCTGGTGATCATAAAACTCTTTTTTCTCTCTCCTTTTCTTCTCCCGTTTCCTCTATAGTCCAGAATAAGCAATAAAACCGCGCTATTGCTTAAAAAGTAGCTTCGTGTTTTCCTCTTTCGCTCCCAATTCGTCCTTCGGGTCATTTTGAATAAATAAACTGCTTATTGATCATTGTTTGGTATCTTTAAATGTTTTCTGCTTGGCCACGTGGTTAAACTAAAAGATATTATTCGTGATTAATCCTTTGTGTTGTTTCATGATCCTTTGAAATGTTTTGAGTGAATTTAAGGTTAAGTTACTGATGATTCTAAGTGCCTTGGAAGTTAAAGTGCAAGTTGCCACTCACACTTTAGCCAGGCAAAGGGGTCAGCCATCTTGCATACAGACTCCATTTTAGAAACACACACACATACATACACACAAAACACCTTGAACATTATTTTGAATATACATCCTTTTATTATATCACATGGT